GACTGACATAAACAAACAGCCCATCACCATCATTCAAGGGACATTTCATTTCACTAGATTATCATTTCTATCCACTTCACAAAATATTGTGTGTGTTCAAAATAAGTACTACGCACAACTACATGGTGTATATTGAGTATTATGTGTTTAACTGTAGATTATTACAACATACATTAATGTACAATTTAATTGCAAGAAATAACCGATTTGTAACAGACAAATAAGGTCGTTTTTCGCAATATAACTGAATAAAACTTCAGCAATTCTTTGTATTATAAATAAGTGAGTGTTGTATAAAAGCTTGAGACATAAAGCTAAGATACAGACAAACCGTGTCACAGCACTGGCCTTCATAACCCCGGCGGACAGCAGCACGCGCTCCTCCTCGGTCACGTGTGCACAGCTGCGTGACGCGCAGCGGCCATTTTGAGTGGTTTGTTCAGCGAGGAGCGCTTGTTATTTTCCAGACGAACGCAGATCAAAGGCCGGAACAGTCGAAATAATCGCTCGAAAGACATTTCACCCTTTCCTTCCATCATTATGGGTCCACCGCGCTGCAGATGCCGCCGTCTGTTACTTGAGAGAACGGAGGACTTCGGTCGGTTTGTCAGTTTATCTTGACATGGCTTATACGGGTGTGTGACGACTGTGGAAAAGCTCGAAAACAAACGGGAGACCATTAAGCTAAACCTCCGCCGTCGATCGATCCATCCGGGGTGGGTTTTTTTGCACTGAGCTCGGTGTATTAAGACGTGTTAGGATTGCTTCGCAGTTCTTGCTCCGATCATAACGAGCTTGGAAAGACAACTCGAGAAAATGAGAAACAATAGTTAGCCAGCCACGCATCGAAGCCAGTCTCTGCTAGCATCGCGATAACAAACAGAAAACAGGCAAAAACAAAATGTAACAGTCGGTTTATTGATGAATACTAGCTTTGAATGCTCTCGTAGATTTCATACTGGATAAAAAAAGAGATGTAGCTCCCTTCAACCAGGTTATTAGTCGGTGGGTTGTGTGTGTGTGTGTATTCAGCGTAGCTAGCATTAGTTTGCTAGCCAGCCACAAAATAAAAGCCTCACAATGAAACTCAACCGTGGCAGGAGAGCTCGTGGGCCCATTTTATGCCCTTAAATCCCAAGATGTCCAGCAAACTCTGTGTTCTTACTCCGTGCCAAGATCTCATGGCATCTGCATTTCTCTGCCATGGTTGTCTTTCTCACCTGTCATTCAGATGTGCTTTTATGAGACCGTTTATTCAAAGACATGGATACAAGCAAGAGTCAATCTCGGAAGAGACTTTCCAAAGTCAAATCTCTTGGTCAGCTTTTTAGATAACTTTAAACCAGATTTCTTTATCTAAAGACCGGGATCTGTCCCCTCACACACACGGACACAAACACAAAACTGTCGGAATGGGCTTTCAGTGTAGCAGACATTTGTGTTTTCTGTCCTTTATTCAGTGATACAACGCAGTTTCTCATATAAAAATAATACTAATTGATCAGGTCGTGTTATATGAGTTTGTTCTTTTAGTTTACACGTAGCCTTGGCTTGGTTGTTTGTTTTAAAAATGGTGTAACACTTCAAAACTTGGACAAGTGCAAATTGACTTGGCCCATGTGCACTACCCATATTGATTAAAAATGACTTGATTTGATTTCGCTCACTTTGTTCTTTAATTCAAATTAGTATGTACTGCAGGTAGTGCTTGGTTATAGCTTTAGTTTTTAAAAGGGTTTGTAAACCACATAGTCTACAGTCAAGGAACTGAAAAGCGAAGGAGAGAAAAAAAAAAGTCTGCTTAAGGAAAGTAGTACTGTCCGTAACAATGGGAGACCCAAATTCTCGCCGGAATCAAACAAGAAACCGACTCCGCGCCCAGCTACGGAAGAAACGAGAATCTCTGGCTGATCAGTTCGACTTCAAGATCTACATTGCCTTTGTATTTAAGGAAAAGGTATGTTGACTGATTCTGTATGAAACGGTTTGGGAATTGACTGTTTGTCTATGATTGTTCTCATATGCCTTTGTCCCACGTTTACAGAAAAAGAAGTCTGCACTCTTCGAAGTAGCTGAGGTGGTACCTGTGATGACCAACAACTATGAGGAAAATATCCTTAAAGGCGTGAAGGATTCGAGCTACTCCTTAGAGAGTTCTTTAGAGCTTCTCCAGAAAGATGTGGTGCAGTTACACGCACCTCGTTACCAGTCGATGCGTAGAGTAAGTGTTGGCACACAGCATGGTTGACTTTCGACATTGACAGTTGAAGGTTAAGCTGCTGTCAGCTGTGTTGCAACCATAATGGGAGACCCAAATTCTCGCCGGAATCAAACAAGAAACCGACTCCGCGCCCAGCTACGGAAGAAACGAGAATCTCTGGCTGATCAGTTCGACTTCAAGATCTACATTGCCTTTGTATTTAAGGAAAAGGTATGTTGAATGATTCTGTATGAAGCTGAGAAATTGACTGTCTATGATTGTTCTCATATGCCTTTTCCCACTTTTACAGAAAAAGAAGTCTGCACTCTTCGAAGTAGCTGAGGTGGTACCTGTGATGACCAACAACTATGAGGAAAATATCCTTAAAGGCGTGAAGGATTCGAGCTACTCCTTAGAGAGTTCTTTAGAGCTTCTCCAGAAAGATGTGGTGCAGTTACACGCACCTCGTTACCAGTCGATGCGTAGAGTAAGTGTTGGCACACAGCATGGTTGACTTTCGACATTGACAGTTGAAGATTAAGCTGCTGTCAGCTGTGTTGCAACCATAATGGTCTGTCTTGCCTGAAAACTCATGTGTCATCATGTCTTTCGAGGTCACTTGCTATTTCTGTCTCACTGATGTTTCTAAATCTGTACAGGATGTGATCGGTTGTACCCAGGAGATGGACTTTATCCTTTGGCCCCGCAATGATATTGAGAAGATTGTCTGTCTCCTGTTCTCCAGATGGAAAGGGGCTGAACATGAACCATTCAGGCCTGTTCAGGTATGTCTATGTAAATTCTGCCCAACAAAATTGTGGTGCTTGCTTATTATTTCTCGTACTTAGGTTATGGACTTGATCAGACCCTTTACACCAAGTATTCAACATGCGCCATTTGCACAATGGGAATGGATGATTCTTTAAAATCCATTTACAAATTGAATGTGGTTTCATTTGCTTTTGAATGTTTCCAGGCCAAATTTGAGTTTCATCACGGAGACTATGAAAAGCAGTTTTTGCATGCTGTTGGTCGGAAGGACAAGGCTGGGATGGTTATGAACAACCCCAATCAGTCTGTCTTTCTGTTCGTGGACAGACAGCACTTACAGGTTAGTTCAATAAAACATGAAATATGAAGGTCCGTGGATAATATTTAAGAATGTCATGAGGATTATCAGCTGATATTTTTTTGTATCAATATTGTACATTTATCTAACATTCACTCAAATTAATGTTTTTTTAAATTATTTTTATGATTAGCTTTAATAACACTGTTAAATGTAATCTTTAGCAAATGCTTTATATTATAGTATTGTGATGCTTAAATGTACTTTTAGCGTTAAAATGATTTATTGTAGTTTATTAATAGACAAAAGAATGTTTTACATACGGTTCACCAAGAATAATCTTAAATGTATCTGATATTGAAATGAAAAATCTTATGTTTATTATGTTGACATGGTTGGTTGTCAGTTGCTGATTTATTACTACTGTGTCACTACTGTTTGTTTCTTATAAAATACATTGATCTTGCCATGAAAATAACCATAGATGCTGTCACAGCAATACAAATAAATTTAATAGACAAAACTGTATAGAATTTTAACATCAGCCATTTTATTGGTTATTGACAATAACTGTATAATTTGTTGGTTATTGATATTAATCATAATTTTATTTAGTAAATTCCAAATAATTATAGATCTTATAATAACCTAATATTTACTGTATAACTAAGGAATAATCAATGGCTAGCCGTACATTAAAGGATTTTAAATGCATGACGTGGAGGCAAATAACCGCCCGAAGCGAAGCCTCTGCTTACGGTACATTCACACGGGCCGCCAGCGTCGACGCTTGATGGAGGGCGTTTCTGAAGCTTGGTGCTGACGCGACCGTCATAGTGACAACAGCCAATCACATTAGTTTTCTGGTGTTGCATGAACGTGATTAGCTAACGTCTGCACCAGGGCATTTGTATAAGGCGATCGGATTGGCTGACGCCTGCGTTGGCGCTTGAAAAGTTGAAAAGTTTTCAACTTCTGCCGCGAGCAACGGACCCGACGTGACAGACCCACAATTAATTCAAAGTAAACGAGAGGCATTGACGCCGACGCCCCGTTTGAATGGGGCGTTATTCCATGGTCATTTGCCAAGTTATTAACTGTAAATGATAGTTATTTTCGATTTACTTATAATAGCCTAACATTTATTGTAAGTTATTTAATAACGTATTTTTATTTTAAAATTGTTTATTTATTGGTTATTTGCAGTAGCATAAAGATATAATTTGACTTGTCAGTAGGGCTGTGCAATTAATCGCATGTGATTGTCATGCGTATCTCGTCAGTAAAGCCGGTCCGATTAATTGCACAGCCCTTATCACTTATCAGTATTGGCCAAAATTTTTATATTGGTGAATTCCTAATAACTATACATCTTGCAATACCCTAATATTTACTGCATAGTGTAGTATCTAAGAATAGCCTAATTTTTTTGGTCTACTCTTTCTTCCACAGACTCCAAAAACCAAGCTCACAGTTTTCAAGTTGTGCAGCCTCTGTCTCTACCTGCCACAGGATCAGCTCACCTGTTGGGGGGTTGGAGACATCGAGGACCACCTCCGTCCATACATGCCTGACTAGGAGAAACGCACGGAAGACACCCCTCGAGGCCTCGAAGCAAGTTGTCCTTATCTACACATCCCTCAGTCGAATAGATATGAACTTGTGCTTGGAACTCTCCTTTTTGTTAACCACTCATTTTCATCGTGAGATTTAATTTATCTCCTTTTTTTTTTGTTTTAAATCCCTCCCTCAACCAGTCTTGGTTTGGCTCACCCCATCTCCCCTCTCTTTGATCAGTTTTTATTTAAACCTGCATGAACATTGATTTTGAGTGGTTGTTCTCTTGGAGCTGCACCGTCAACAATACCAGTCACCGAAGGAACTCTTTACGTTAAGGGAACAAAAGAAAACTAAAAAAATGAAACCAATGACAGGTCTCTCACATGTAGTCCTCGTGTGTTGGACTGACTTTAACATCACTGTTATGAGGGATTGTTAACATGTCTGTTATATTGAGTAGGGATTTCATGAGTAATGACAATCGGTGACAGAGGACAAAAGAGCCTGGGTAGTCTTCCTCAAAAGACTTCTATTACAAGGTGAACAATACTTGTTAACTCATTTGGTGTAGGCATTGCTTCTTATTCAGTTACTGCCTTAGGTTTTGCTGGACATTTTAATTTGAGTGTCATTCCTTGCCTATAATATGACACATCTTGTTTGCTTTATCATTTCTGGAGGAGTGGTGCCTGATGGGGACAGAGGTGCAGTGTGTGATGTATATCTAAGATGGTTGACATAAACTGTCTGTTGGAGGAATTCTGATGCTGTTTTTTGCTTGGGAGGGTAATTGTCACCAATTGAGCAACTCATGCACTATATATATACATACGAGCTACTGATACCAGATGTGATCATTGGTGGTGGGTTTGTGATGAGAGACTGATGTTCAAGCTAATGTACCTAATGAGAAATTTCGTAGAGAAACTTGAAATGGATCATTATGGATTTGTTTTTCTTTTATAGACCACCCTGTTGTAAGAGTACTAAATATTGCAGTGCTTGGGACTTGGTATCTGTAAGCCATCTTTGTCCGTTCTTATGGCATAAAATCATTACTTTTCTTCCCCCTTTTGAAATTCTGAGTTCACGTCTAAGGTGGGTCTTTGTCTTTATTTTGTTGTACCCATTGTTTGAATAATTCTGTTGAAATAAACACTGCTGAACATATCCTAACACAGTGCAAAGCTTTTTAAGCAGGAGTTTATTATATAACAAAGAACTACAGGTTTCGTGTCAATTACAGGGCATGCACATAATCAGCTACCGAGGTGTTCAGTGTGTCTTCCCTGAGCAATGAGTTTTCCGTTCGCCTTGTTGGTGAGCTCTACTGTTGCAAATGCCAAAGGCCGTCCTTGTTTTAAAACCTGTGCAGTGATCAGGACGGCTTCTCCAATTTTAGCTGCATTCATGTATCTGTTAAATGGAAAGCAAACAAACTTAAGTGTCAAGAGTCCATTTTAGATGATGAATGCACTCATTTCTCTATTTTTTCACTTTTATTATAAGTTTGGTCTTGTCAAGTCTTAGAAACATTAAAAAAAAAAGCTATTGAACATTTCCGCACGTTTCATTATTAACCGGGAAGAAAATACAGTTGAACACTTTGTGACAACATGCATATATTTCAGTTTAATTCTAATAATGTTATTAGTTAATAGTAAATAATTCTTAGTTGCTGCTTAGATTTCTATTTATATATGTGTGTGTGTGTGTTAATACTTTTTATTTTTACAATTTCATTTAATACAATTTTTCTTTTAATATTTTCAAAACTCCTATTTATTAATTCATTTGTTCTAATTACCGAAAACAGTTAGTTTTATTTAACAGTAGCAACACTGATGAGATACTGCCCCGCTCTTCCCCATTCATGACACAGTAGCACATATTTTTGTAGTTCTGTACACAGTTCACTCTTGCAGGATGTTTGAAAGATGGCCCAAATGTTATACAAAATAAGAGTATTATTATTTTCCGAAGGAAAGCCCTTTTGGAGTCCCTCAGCTAAAAGGCCTCTTGCCACAAGCGTGGAGAACTGCAGATAACTAATGACAAAAACATGCACTACATTCTTATAAATAGGTAAACTAAATCTAACGATTCAATCTATGAATTCTTCTAGAAGCTAAACGGACCATTCGGCTATGAGGACTTTTATTATGAAATAATCACTCGTGATTCATTGGAGTCGTATCTTTTCAATCAATCCGTTGAACCGGTTTTCAAAACAGATGTAAATGATTCGTCCAAGTCCAAATTAAATTTTCAGGGCAACAGCATATCTTAATTAATTTTAGAATTTACAATTAAATTGAGAATTTTAAGAATGTTATTGCTAGTTATATTTCATTCCTGCAAGCAAACACACTGAACGGGCACACACGTGCCTAGACATTATTTGATTAATATGTGATTCGTGCATCGAAGGGTTTAGAGCACTGGCTGGCCAGGGTTTTGAAACGAACTGCTCGAAAGAACCGACTCTTTCAGTACTACAGTTTAGTGCTTCCGGAAAGCCTCTATTTGAACAATAATAATCCCTTCGGTTCGGGACTCTCTGGGTGCAGCGTTTAATGTGATGTGGAAATTAGGGTAATAATACTTTGAGGTCGTGGTTTATAGTATGGTGTAAATAAATGAGGTCCAGCGACCACAATCATACATTAATATTGATACTGTCTCCGTATTTTGGGGGGTTCCACCCGGAATGTTTTTGTAGCTGTACGCGTCCATGTCCCGCCGTGATGTTCAACACTGCTATGTCAGGTAATCACACCGATCAACAAATGTCTGCTCTAGAGCAAACGAGGACTAGCCTTTGCGACCAATTTGCCTCTATCTCTGGATCGGACAGTGCTGTGGCGCAGTGTTATCTAGCAGAAAATGAATGGGATATGGAGGTATGGCACTATTACTGCAGCACGTTTCTGTATTTAAAATTATCTATTGAGTAGAGCGTGTTTAGGTCTTCTAATCTTCAACCATTGCTGTTCTTATACAAAATCTTTTTTACTCCTGTGTTCCTGCCAGAGAGCATTGAACTCGTTCTTCGAGGCTCATATGGATTCAGTCTTTGATGCTGAAGATGCAGAGGAAACTAAAGATGTGTCTGGGAAGAAGAGAAAGGGGGTGAATACTTCTGACACTGCTGAGGCTTCAGGAACAAAGAAGAAATTGAAGACAGACTGGTAATGTTTTCTCCTCTGTTTATTAGGAATTGTAAACTGAATTTGCTCTACATATATATAATAATACTCTATACCTAGATACTAATGATATTTGAAATATGTTTTCAAATTGTGCAGCATTGACCTGACAGCGGAGGAACCCACCTGCTCCAGCAGTGTGGACCCCCAAGAAAGTCAGGCTGGAAGTGTTGTAACCGAATCTAACGCGGAGGACAGCAAGCTCTCCATCATCAGCTGGAATGTGGATGGTTTGGACACATTAAGTCTTGCAGAGCGTGCCAGGGGCTTGTGTTCATATCTAGCTCTGTGAGTTGTTTAAAGACCCGCGGTGTCCTCTATTTCATGTTTTATTCGACACTTAAGTTTGTGTTGTTTTACTCGTAACTCTTTGCTTGCTTTTATCCGTTGTTCTTTTGTAGATATACACCAGATGTGGTTTTTCTTCAAGAACTCATTCCATCTTATATTCAGTATCTTAAGAAACGTGCTGTCAGCTATCTGTTTGTTGAAGGTAAGAAACCTCAGTGCTCAGTGAAGTTATTTACTGATTCATGAAGTTCCCTGTCATTAAAGGAAGCGATGATGGATACTTCACTGGGATTATGTTGAAGAAATCAAGAGTAAAACTTCTGGAAAGTGAGATCATCTGTTATCCTACAACACAAATGTTGAGAAATCTATTAGTTGCTCAGGTGAGTTTGTGGTTTATAAGCATAATCCAAAGATTGTATTGGGGTATAATGAATGGCACGGGTGTATTTCTTAATGGAAGCAGAAATACACTACTGTTCAAAAGTTTGGGGTTGGTGAGATTTTTCAGTGTATTTGAAAGAAGTCTCTTATGCTCACCAATGCTGTATTTATTTGATTAAAAAAATAGAGTAAAAACAGTAATATTGTGAAATGCTATTACAATTTAAAATAACTGTTTTCTATTTTAATATATGTTAAAATGTAATTTATTCCTCTGATGTCAAAGCTGAATTTCCAGCATCATTACTCAAGTCTTCAGTGTCACATGATCCTTCAGAAATCATTCTAATATGCTGATTTGCTGCTCAAGTGCTGTTTAATAATTTTGTGGAAACTGATTTTTTTTTCAGGGATATTTGATGTATAGAAAATTCAAAAGAGCAGCATTTATTTGAAATAGAAATCACTTGTAACGTTATAAATGTCTTTACTGTCACCTTTGATCAATTGAATGCATCCTTGCTGAATAAAATTATTAATTTCTTTAAAAAAAAATATTTAAAACCTGTGAACGGTAGTGTATGTATACTTTAATATTTCCTTTTCTAGGTTGTGTCTCTGCCATAATTCATTTGCTTCTCATCATTCATACACATTAATTTATTTTTTGACTGTTGTATCTTGTTAAGGTGACTTTCTCAGGTCAGAAGCTATACTTGATGACATCACATTTAGAAAGCTGTAAGAACCAATCAGAGGAGAGAATGAAACAACTGCGAGTTGTATTTCAAACGATGAAGGAAGCACCAGAAGATGCTACTGTAATTTTTGCTGGGGACACCAATCTCAGAGACACCGAGGTAAATAAAAAAAAAAAGGCTTTAAAATTCACCACAAGGACTAGATGAGTGACCTAACTGGTGGTACACAACAACAACAACACCATTTTCAATTCATGTCTGTGAAATTGTGTATTGTGTACACATTCAAATGAAGCCATTTTTCAGTTTGGGGTTGATGAAGGGTAGTTGAGTTTGACTGATGGGCCTGTGAATAGGAGAAAAGGTTGGGAAACACTGGACTAACAATCACAGTAGTTCCAAATATGATGGAGGAATGAATGCGCAGTGAAAGCCACTAGTGCGATGCAGCATTTCTGAAGATTGTTTCTGTCCGTGTAGGTGGTAAAGGTGGGAGGTTTGCCTCCAGGTGTGTGTGATGTGTGGGAACAGCTGGGCAAACAGGAACACTGCCGATACACTTGGGACACCAAAGCAAACAGCAACAAGACTGTGCCTTACATCAGCAGATGTCGCTTCGACCGCATCTTCCTTAGGTCTGCTAAAACCGGCCCAAGAGTCACTCCTGACCACATGGTGTTGGTTGGAATGGAGAAACTGGACTGTGGCCGTTACACCAGTGATCACTGGGGAATTTACTGCACTTTCAAAACATGATTATTAAATCCCTAGAAACTTAGGACCATGTGTTATTTCAGTTTTTCTTTTTTAATAAATCTGCAAAAATGTCAACAATTCTGTGTTTTTCTGTCAATATGGGGTGCTGTGTGTACATTAATGAGGAAAAAAAATTAACTTAAATGATTTTAGCAAATGGCTGCAATATAACAAAGAGTGAAAAATTTAAGGGGGTCTGAATACTTTCCGTACCCACTGTATATACGCGTGTCGTTTAGAAGATCGTTTTAAAAAGTGTTTAAAGTGAAGAGTGCCTACAAATTCAGACTACAGACAGGTGTAAGAAACAAAGACATACAGATAATAACAGAATGCAAAGCTGGATATAAAATACTTCGAAAAGGGTTTGAATAGAATGGTTTACTTGTTTAAACCTCAGTAATTGTTACTCCACAGTTTTTTTTTTTGTCATACAAAATCTTCTGTTATCACAAACCACGATTTCAGCCTATCTCTGCTCTTTTCCTAAATAAATGTGAGCTTGATTTATTGTGGTGATTGTGGTAAGGGTTGTGTGTCCTATATTATACCACAAGTGGTCAGTATTTCTCAAATATTACAAAGCTTTTAAATGTCATTGGTACAGAAGCACAGTTGAACTATTACCTGTACTTCTTGAAATTACAGTGTGTGTATACCGTTTAAAAATGTGTAAAATTGTCAAAATTGTGCAAATAGAAAAACAATGAAACCATTACGTTTACAGTAATATTCTGAAAGTACTAAAAATGGTACTGTAAAAAAACTGAACAAACAACTTTACCAACAAATTTAAAGAATATGTTAAAAGAATCTTTGTATTGTCTACAAAGAATTTCTTTGTAGAATTTACAGATTATTGTGGTTTAAACAGAAAACAGAACAATCTGTACAAAAGCAATAAAATACAGTTAAAATGTATTATTTATTTACAGTTTGTCTCTATATTTCATTATATATATATGATATTCGTTTTATTTTATCACAATTTATATTGTAAAAAATTATTTATATAAATTTTTCCAAAATTTTGACTGGCTCTTAGTTGCGCCAGCTTTTCCATCACACTGAACATTTTTGTTCCAAATGAAGTTTTTCAAAAGTTAGTTTACTTATCACAGTGTCAAGAGGCTGAGATGAAATATGACACATGATGTGCTACAAAAAATATCACTTGTGAAAATAATATTGTTACTGTGCATCATTACCAATCAAGCTGTAATTTTGTGAAAAAAGTGTGAAAATATGATTTAATTGTGCATTTTGAATACATAAAATTATAGCTATGAAATTAGCCTGAGCAAGACAAAGGAGTCTGCCATTTTATTCCAAAAATGTAATTTCTTAAACTATAATTTCCGTCACAGAATGCTATTAAACACAATACATGATCTGGCATGGGGTGCCTTGAAACAACACTGTGGTGGGCAGTTTCACAAAAGTGGACTTTGGACATTGTTAGTAGATAAATTAAATAAACCAGTGTGAGTGTGTTTATCTTCTGATGCTTAAACTACCAGGCAGGGTTGCCAGGGTTTCACAACAAAACCCGCCCAAAACTAGCCCACTTGTGTTCCGGAGGTAAAATGCACGTTTTTGGCAGGGATCCTCTGGTAAAATTAGCATTCCAGAGGCTAAATGTCACGTTATTGGGGTCGCTTCAACAGTGTTACAGTAGCCCAATTCTGCGGGAAAACCGCAAACTTGGCAACAATGCTACCAGGGCCTGAGCTCACTGGACCTATCTCTGAAACTATGTTCAGATAAATGTGCTACTTATTCCTGTTTCAGTTTGAGAGAAATGAGTAGTGAGGTCTCCTCTTAACTGTCCTAAATAAGCTGAAAGCATATGAGTGTCAAGGCAGCAGCTGTCTTAAGCAGGGTGGACATGTGACTCCAGACAACCTTGAAAGACACCCCACTGCCAAGGTTAATAAACCTCTTGCTTGGTCAGATGAGTAAATATTACATCTAAACCAGGTCAGACTGCCACAGATCTGCCCTCAGGGTCTGTATGACTGGCTTACAGAAGTCTGCTCGGAGCACAAACACACTCTCCTTGTCCCTCTCTCCAGGATAACACCCACTGCCACTTAAAGGGCCAGTCCTGTGATAGGTCTGTTTGAATATCCTTCTACTTATAGGCTGTTAGAACCTTGTAAAATAGTTGTTTTTTTATGAGATCAGTTTGGTTATATTTAGAGTTAGGGAAGGACCAACATGCTTTTTGTTGAAAATTCGTACCTTTTCGTACAATTTACATCGTACAAATTCAAACTAAATTGTCACTTCATAAAATAGTTTACAAATAGTTTTCTCATGATATCAGGTTGGATTTGTTTAGGGGTAGACGTTTATGGTTATTTTTTCCCCCTATTATGTTCCATTATGCCTTTTAAATTGTATGTTTTCTTTTGATTCACACGGTAAAAAAAAACAATAAATAAATTAATAAATAATAAAAATGAATACAAAATTGTAGCAGTTATATTTTTATGTGAATCAAATATATTTAGGGTTGGAGTAAGGTGTGGACCTTCATAGTTACTTTTCTCCTACAATTCACATTGTAGAGTTTCATATGAAATTGCTACCTTGTTTAAATTTTTTTTTAAAAGTCACATTTTCCTGTGAGACTGGGTTGGATCTTCCCCTTCATTTCACAGTTCAGATTGCACACTTTAGGTTAGATAATGGTGTAGTTTGCACCATGTCACTGCAACTCCAAGATAACGGATACTGATAGAGGAGGGAACCATGTGAGGAATGAAATCTTAATTACACAATCAGACAATATAGCACTGTCAATCTGTAACTAAACTGGATTATCAGCAAGCAAACGGTCTCCTGTTATAAGAGCCCGTTCTAAGATGTGTCTTCTACACTGAATTAAATACAGAAACACTGGGTTATTTATGTAGACTAGTGAGCATAGCACAAGATGATTGTGTAATTTTTCAACAGTTTTATTTCAACACTGAACAAGCATGACACCGCAATAAATATTCATTTACATTGCAAAATTCTCTGTATTACAAAATACAGTGTATGTAAAATGCACTTGTCAAAGGGGTCAAGAGGTTTTAGTATAGTACCTGATGTGCCCTAATCTAAAATTACATTTGTACGTTTATGTATTTTTTAAATGTGCTGTAATCTCAGATTAAGGTTTGCCAAGAACCTCGCAAGACCCCTTCGCTATTATACTCACTGTTGCATATCCCACTGTCATTCAAACTGGAAAAATAAGACCAAGCACTGATACATATCCTCAAATTATCATTTATTTTTGTCGTTTGTTAGATTTCGATTCTTTTTGCATTTGACATCCCAAGAATCTTTCGTTTTTCAGGTATCACAATCCCATGCCTGCTCGAATTAAGAGTCTGAACACACTGCAGGCAAGTGTCCCGGTTTCAATGTCTTAGGCAGCAAGAGGTACAAGGCAGGTTGACATCGTAACACAAGACCAGGATTGTTGGATCTCTACAATGTAACTCAGATGGTGAGTCAGCATGTTCAGTTTTTATTTATTGCTCAATTCAGAAAACAGAGGGGCTTTTCCATTTCCTTGAGGAAAAAAAAATAATAATAAAAACCATTCATCCCATTTTTAAGTTAAGGAATGTGTCCATTTGTGCACAGTTACACCTGCACTTTTCAAAATAAATGTAACAACTTGTTCGAAAATCTATTTGCACACTCTCCATGTAAGAGAAAAAAAAGCGAGATGGTGTATTTCACTTTGTAGTAAAATTGCAATATTAATTCGAGCCCTTGTCAGCATTTCACTCAGACCCTACAGTCTAAGTAGCAGAAAAACTATAACTGGAGACATAAATACAGAGTACACTCTAAAAAATGCTGGGTTAAAAAAGGACAAAAAAGGTTCAAAACATCCCAACCGCTGGGTCAAAACAACCCAATAGCTGGGTTTGTCCCTTTTTAACCCAGCATTTTTTAGAGTGTACGATGAGATGGTTTTTCGGGAATGAGCGGCGCACCAGTGTTCAACTGATTGTCAGATTATGGTGACGCTCTAATATTGATGCTGTAAACCAAACGGTGAGTCTCAAATGACACTGAGAATGAAGTCACTACCAACAGAGTGTACATTTCAGCTACTGAGAAATTCAGCATTGAGAGCATGTGTTTCTTATAATAATAAAACAAAAAAAGCTTGCAATGACAAAATCAAACTAAATCAAAGTCTTTTCCATCTCCACACTGATTTACAGCATGAACAGCTGGATTTACAGTATCATTTCATGTCAAACCGCACAACAGTGTCGTTGAGTACAGGTGAAGGTAATGAGAAGACAAAACAAACAAAGCACCAGGATTGTGTGAAATTCCCTGCATGGAGGGATTTGATGTTCCCGGTGTGGAAGCTGCGAGTTCACTGCGGCTCTGAGCTCGTTAACAGAAGCCTGTGCTAAATTATATAGCTGGGACCCAAATACATCAGTCAGTGCTCGGGAGTCTTTTGTATCTAATTAGGTGAATCCCTAAGGAGGGAACGACAGACATTACCATGACCGGAGTCGTGTAATAACGTTTTAGTTGTAGTTTGCAGTTTTGTCAGCTGTTCTCTTTGCGCTCACCATGAGTAACTGAGCAGTAGAGGCTTTGAGCTGAATTTTCACTGGTGTGCATTTTTGAGAAAAACTGCCAAAAGATGCATTGTAGGCAATTGTGAGCTTTTTTAGCACAGTGCCAACAACCCATTATAGACTGATGTGAATAATGTGGAACTTCAGCATTCATTACATAATAACAACAATAATGCACTAACATATGATAATGCTTCCCTTTTATATATATATATATTTCCCCTAATTTGGGAAAATATTTATATGAATATATTTATATAATTATACAAACATATTATATATTCAACATATAGCATATATTCATAATAATTACTTTCCCCCACTTTTCAGCATTTCGTCTTTATCTTATATATTCAGTTTGTTAAATTCCATATGTGCAAACGTTCTGAATTATTCTAACAATGAATAAATTAACAAAAGTGATGTAAAAAATGCTAACAGCCCTATAATAAAGCATTTGGTTAAATAATACAAGAAAGAAGGCAAAGAATTTCAGTCCTCTCAATATGAGAATGAGAAATCGAACACGTACGATCATACCGCTGAGCTAATCACGCTGTGCTAAAAGTTCTTGGCAGGACATCTTTAAATATCCAGCTAAGAAAATTTCCTTCCCTCCCATCTGTTCCGTACAAAACTGCAGAGTAGCAAAAGTGTTCCCAGTTTGGCAAAAGCCACAATTTTATCCAGGTGATACTAACTGATAATATTTTTTTCTTACTCTAGACCTCAAAAATCCATCAAGCAATACTTTTAGATAAACAAAAAAGCAAACATCTTAAGCATATTAACCTGATATATTAGTTGGGCCCTCTTTAATAACTACAACTCTATAACATTCACTTTAATTAATTTACCATTTCATGCTTTAGACCTCCTATAAAGTTATATAATTTTATATTAGTATCATACATTTTTTTTTACGAAAACGTACCACAAAAACAAAGATCTCAAGTCAATCTCAAACTTCTCATATAATACTGGCCCAGGGTCCCAATCTTTGGGCAATATTTCCATCAAGGTCTGATGACGGGCTCTTTGACAGTCTAGTGCCGCTCCACATCAGACCTCCATCATTACTAGAACAGCTGGCTGGGACTGTAGCAGCTCCCAAGACTGCCTGACTCAGCCGAGACAGATCTCCATCCGTCCAGTCAGGACAGCCCAACTGGATGTAGGGTTGAAATATGTTCATCAACAACAAAGACGCTGATCAGACCACGTTGATCCCCCCTCCCGCCGCAGCCCGTTTGCTGCAGTAGCTCGAGCTGCAGTGGTTGGTCGTTCCGCCATTCATGTATGAGGTCTTCAGCTCCAACTGGCAGGCTGCAATGGCAGCGTTCAGTTCCACTTGTGCTCGATGTACAACGTAAAACATCAGGCCTATGCTGATGAAGATCTGATGAGAGGAACAGAGAGAGTGAGTCACTGGGTGGATCTGCAGACTGAGCTGGACGACGGCTGTTACAAAGATCCAGATGATGCGACTTATTTAATGCGGTTGTAAATTTAAGCAATAATTCTTTGGCTGATATATCGAAATATCCTGTTTCAGTCAAGAATTCATTACTGGCGTCTAACTTTACTACACACAAGAGCGAATGCAAAACAAGAACACATTTTTTGGTCAAAGCTCTGCCAATGACCATCTATAATTATGGTTTACTACAGGTTCCACAAGAATCTAGGCTAGACATAAATATTTCATTTGCTCATACGTTTGCATATCCATTGCAGAAGATGTTTACCATTTAAAAAAATACTACTACTACTACTACTATTATTAATAATAATAATAATATGTATTGTTTTTTAATAGTAGCATTAATCACTGTTTATAGCCTTGTGATTGTCATCTAGGAGTCTCTCAATTGACCAAGAGGCAAAGCTGGATCTAAACGTTACCGAGAGTTCCAGGGAATTCTGAGAACTGCAATATGCAAAGCATACTGGAAAACCAAAGAACTTTACAAAACAATGAAAAACTTCAATGCAACATTATATTGTGTACTGCTAATTGTGTGTAAAAAAAACAGGCAAAACAGTAATCAACAGGAAGAGAGTGTTGCATTCAGCTCTATAAATAAAAGTGACAAACTATGCCACACCAAAAAAAAAAATCCTGGTGATGCTTCTCATTTGCAAGCTGCTTTGGATAAAAGAGCCTGCTAAAATGCAAAGTCTTGGATCCAAATGTCAATGTAAACTTCTTTTGATAATTCTTCTCTTAATTAATATAACTTCTTGAAGATTCTGCAAGTAGTATGTACATTTGTGGGCTAAACTGTACATACAGGGTTCTTGCTGACTTCCTTTCAAATCCTTTCTTTTTGTTTTTGGAGGCTTACCTGTAGACCGAACACAAAGTATCCACTGACGCTCTGTTCTGCGATCACGTCCTCCATTGTGCGCAGGGTGGTGCCCAGATATGAGTTAAGGAGTTGTGTTGGGAGAAGTCCCACTGAGGAAGCCACTAAATAATTTGGCAAGGAGACGTCTGTGATCTGTCAAAGAGAGCGAGAACTATATTTGGTCACAGAGTTGGTCAAGAATAATCACAGAGGGTTTAACTTTTCACCGCCTGCAAGAATGTGTAATCAGCCTCGTTTAGCCCCGTCACTGTCCTTCACATGCTAACTGGACTAGCTGCCTCTAATGTAGGGCTGCACGATAAATCGAACTGGAATTGAGATCGCGATTCGACAGAAGCTGCGATTGTCATGCGTATCTTTCAGTGAAGCACGGTTCTGTGATCAGCAGTAAATCTCCATCCAAAGGCCAGAGGGCACTCTCACGCTGAAACTCCAAATACGCATTGCTGCAGCTGAATAAACAGAAGATTCAACTGCTTTCATTGATTCAACGTGACTAATAAACACACGACTATGGCAATATATGGTTTATCGGAGTTCTTATTATTATAATTTTTATTAAAATAAAGTATATTTATAATGCAATGCCTTTATCGCTGCTTAAATACTATGAAATATGGTGTGTGCCTTATTCTGTGTTAGAAGCCACATCATCTCACAGAAGGATTTATTTCAAACACTCGACTGATGTTATGAAGTGAGTTTGGAGTAAAAATATGTTATTAAATGCGCTATTTTCACATGCTTTCAGATGGAGCAGCATTTACTTCACAGAGCCGTAGTTCACTGAGAAGATATGCAAACAGCTGTCATTATCGCGAACGATTTCTGCGATTTTTTTTTGCGGAACTTGTCAGTGAACTACGGCTATGTGTAGTAAATGCTGCTCCATCTAAAAGCACGTGATGATGACCTCCTGCTGATTACAGAACCAGCATTACTATCAAAATGCGCATGACAATCGCATTCGATTAATCGTGCAGCCCTACTCTAATGCAATCAAAATGAAAACGTTTTGATTTCGATCATTTTTAATCACTTTTCTTTTCTCCGTCATCATACGTTGGCATGCTAGCAATTGTTAAAACTTTTTTTAAACACTTGATTCATTGCACACATTTTACATCCCTTCCTATATGTAAATACAATGCAATGCACAGATTTTTTGCTTCAACATGTGGGATGTTTTAGTGGTTTGTACTACATTGTAAAGGCTTTGAAAAATTTTTACCTTTAAGTAGTGCTTCTGCCCTGTTCCAAGTCTGAGCAAACACACCCTACATAAATGTATTAAAGCTTTGTATAATTCATTTCTATAACCTGTGGCTACGAGTTGTAAAATATGGTGCAAACATCTGGTACAAACAAGTGGTAAATTATGAAACATGATGTAAAATCCTTCTATTTTTGATCATTAATAGGTTGGCAAAGATGCAGGCATTGCATTGCTGTATTAGGGTTGCGTCAACCTATTAATATTCATGAAAAAGAAAAAATGATGCATTCTTGTTTTAAGAAACGACTTCTTTGTAAATGGCTGTGAAGCAATATTTTAAGTATGCAGTCGCATGCATTGTGTTGGGTTACCTACAGAACACATTACATTCTGCTTCAGCAGAAAATGCAGGGCACATTGAAATACAGCCCCTTCTATAGGACGTGCTTACTGAGGGTATGTGAAACATAATTCCAGTGTGACCTGTTTAGTGCCGACATACATCATACCCTTGGGCTGTGATCCCTCTGTTACATAAAAAAAAGTGAAATAAAACCTATTAGGCTGAACACAATTAGAGTCAGTGGCACTTACAGAGAGCCTGATGTTCACTCGCTCTCCAACTGTAGACTGATACAAACTGAATAACAACCTCATTGTTTTTTAGGACTATAAGTAGAGGGCAGCAGGCTACTGGAGCTAGAGTACTGACTCACGGTATCAGGTTCAATCCCACGTGAAGCAAACCCAAAGCTGAAGAGTTACTGAGATGACCCTAGTGTTCGAAAGCAGTGGTGTATAAAGTACCTTGAAAGCCATACTCAAGTAAAAGTACATATATCTCACCAGAAAATGACTTTGGTAGAAGTTGAAGTCACCGTTTAGAATATTACTTGAGTAAAAGTTTAAAGTATGTGATATTTACCGTACTTAAGTACGAAAAGTATTTTTAAAATTTTAAACATACTTAAGTATTGAAAGTAAAAGTACAAGTAAATGCAAAATGGAAAAGAAGCAAATAAATATATATTAGGGCTGGGTATCGATTCAGATATCCCGATTCGATTCCGATTCGCAAGCTCTCGATTCGATTTGATTCTTGATTTTTTTTTATTACATTCAGTGAATATAGTTTTAATACAAATGCTATTGATATTTCTAAAAAATTAACAGTAAACATCAGTTTACAAATTAAGAACCACATGCCTGTATTTTAAACCTATTATTTTTTTTTGTCCTTTTATCCTTTTTAAACAATAGTGGGGCCTTATAAAATGTTCTTCATTTTTCTGGTAATCAGATGAAGGCATAAAACATTAATTTATAACGAAAATTAAACCCTTTTATTTTTTTGGCAAACAAAGTGCTGCACAACAGAGGTTTACTGTTAAAATTTAAAATAAAACAGATGTGATTATTCCTTTAAAAATAAAGATTTATTAATATTTATTAGCAGTAGTAGCATTGATTCTTAAGACTGCTAAATAGTAATATATTCTGACAGTTTAACGTTAAACTAAACTTTTATTTTGACGAGTTGCCGTGAAGACCTTGCAGCTGCTGTGTACGTGATATGACGGTAGATTTCTCAAATGAAATGGTAAATGCTAATGAAGTGACTCTCAGAGCAGCTGGAGATGACATTCGTGTTCATATCATCATATAGTGAGACGGCAGAAGCTGAAAACACCGCGAGCATCATCCGCGCTTTAGTATGTGTGTAGTAAACAAAAAAGTGCGCCGCACCATCCGCCATTCATTCATTGCGAAAATCATGGCGCCTTATGCGTGATATCAGATGCTTCCGCAGATTTATAGTATTACTATAGCATTTCACCTGAGCTTTGTGAATCATGCGTATGGCCATGATAAGTGCTGAATGAATGACAGGCTTTCTGTTGTAACATCGCGCAAGGTAAATAAGGGTGACATTTAGTGGAGAAGACTAATGATAAGATTCATATATATATATAAAAATTCATATACACAGCTTGAGTAGCAAGATTGTTTTCAGTTTTAACTCTTTCTTCCATTTTGTATTTTTTGGTAATAAGAAGCACTTCATCCTGTACTTAGTGTCTTTCATTACAACATAAGAAAAATTTCTGGAATCTGCATCTGAAATAGCATTTAGATGTATTTACACAGTTTATGTATCTCAGAGTAGACATGGATGCATTTAACCTGCAGTCACAGTATAAAAAACAATAATGTTTTGTTTTTAACAAAGCGTTGAATACTGATATTTGAAATGATTTAAAAACATGAAAAAAATAGTCGAAATGTGAAATTAAAACCGCCAGTAGGTGCCAGCAAGTGAATGTTAATGAGTGAGTCATTGAAATTCAACCGATTCATTCAAACGGCTGATTCATTCAGGAACAAAGCACTTAACTGTGTTAATGAGTGAATCACTGAATCATTTATTCAACCGATTCGTTCAAAAAGCTGATTCATTCAATAAGTAAACGCCATTGCTCAGAGACGCAAAGCAGTGATGAGATCTTTGTTTGGAACTATTTTTGTTGGCAAAATTGAGCAAAAACAAGCAATATTATGTCTAAAATGTAAGTCACTTGCTAACTTTACTGAACTTGTATAAAATGATTATTAAACTTGTTACGCTGCAGAAATCTATCTGCATGCTAATATATCTGCAGAAAAACTGTATTCTTTTACGTGATATAGATCAAGTTTACTATATTAAATTATACAAGTATAAAAAGCATACAGAAGCATTTTTCCATCTACAATTTAGAATGCCTTGAATTTTGAGTTGTAATAGAGCCTCGACTTGAGAGGAAAATTAATCATCTGTGGTGGTGCGCGCACTTGCTTGCACATGAGCATGAGTCTAACTTGCAGATGCCAGACCACTGATTCGTCAAACCTGCTTTCCTGCAGTCCGTGTTCTTCTGACTTTATTTTGTAGTAAGTAACGAATATGCTTAGGGAAATGTATCGGAGTAAAAGTATACATTTTAATTAGGAAATGTAGTGGAGTAAAAGTTGCCTGAAATTTTAAAACTCAAGTACACATACTCCCAAAAAATACTTAAGTACTGTAACAAAGTATTATTACTTCGTTACATTACACCACTGAGCAAAACATTCAACTTGCATTAAAAACATCTGCTCATAATCATAAGTCTTCATCATAAAACGTCAAAGGAGAAATACACTAACATATGAATCATCCAGTGAATAAATTATGCAAACGGTGCAAACAGTAGTCAATTCAATAGTCAAAAATATGTTCCAAAATGGCAGGCTACAGGTTAGGGCTGTGCGATTAATCGAAATCGAATCGAAATCGCGATATGAGACGTTGCGATTTCCTAATCGCAAAGCCTGCGATATGGACGCGATATTACTCTGTTCCAGAGCATATGCATGACTGCCAGCCTTGAGTGGCAGTCTTACTAACCAATAGAGTGAGCGCACCTCCGTTCTCCCCAATCAGCACTGCTCTAGCCAACTGCGTAAACACCCACCATTTAAAAAAAAAAATTGTATGCAACTTAAGCTTCGAAATCACAGACAACGAACAAAAAAGGTAATTTCCAAGAGCTGCGTCACAGCGCATATCAAAAGCTCCCTTATCGGTTCTGTTTTCAGTACTGGAGAATAAAAGATACATTCTTATATGTTTTTGTTAGTACGTGTACGTTATCTTACACATTTTATCTCCCCAACAGATTAATTAGAAATAAGTTTATAATGCATGTTGGCTATTCCCAATTCAGAAGAGAGTACACACAGCCTGTGTCTGTGAATGCTTCTCATACTCGCTCCTCTCTGCCCCACGCGGCGCGAATCCTGCGTCACGGACGAGCCGTTCATGCTTGCCGCACTCACGCAGCCTGTCTCGTAATGCTGGTTTATACTCGCACCCGGCTCCGCACCGCACGTCTCCACGAGCGCATCTGGCAGTATGGATGAGGCTTGACGCACGCGCGCAACCTGTGTCGACTCGTGCCTGGCTCGGCGTTTAAAACGAATGTAAATCCAGTCTAACCGCTTGCTAATTTCACTTGGATGAAGCCCTACTACAGGTCCACAAGCTCATATCAAGAACCAAACCAGCCTTAATGCCTGAGAAAGTCTCTCAGATCTAATCCTTTGTTTTAAGAAGCAACTTCTGGACCAACAAAATACATATAGCTCATAAAATTTACATGAAATTTGATTTTCATTAAAATCACATTTTTTAATGCCCAGAAACCGTGTAATTATATGTTTGTAAATTTAAATGTTGCTGTATATTTACAAGTGTCACCATGTATTTATCAAAAAGTTGAGAAAGGCTAAAAAAAATCTGTTAGAAACTGCAGTATGTATGTATCATTGTTCTTTACTGTCCTCCGTCACGTTAAAGGTAGCCGTTTCTTTCTCCTCGTGTGTGTCAGCTGATTAAAAATTTATTATGTTGGTTGTGCAAAGTGTCCGAAGGTAATATTTCAATGTACAAAGAGGCCTGTCTTTATACCCCTGATCCTGCATGAAGAGCAGTTATGTTTGATTTAAATCTGGCTCTGAGCTGGAGGTCTTAATTGTTTAATTCTAGCAAAGCTGGATAAAGCCACCTGGATGTCACTTAAAGATTAACAGCCACTTCAATGCTATTATCAGATACTTTTGTGTGCTGGGTGTCTTTTTACTTTTCTAAAATAATTAATCAACTTTAAAAATTAGGGATGTAACGATGCACAGCGAGCCGGTTGAACATCGATACAAATGTGACGATTCAAATTGGTTGAGATGTTAAACGAATCGTGATACATTTGGGGGTGGGAGTTTATATGAATGTATCTCTGAGGGGAACCGACAGTCTTTAGATAAGTTTAGATGGTATTTACTTTTCATCTCGTCTCTGTATAATGCATATTAAAGTAGTATTTATGTAATATTTATGTAGTACAGTTTCATAAAACTAAAGTCAGAGCATTTTGTTTTTGTTTAAAATGTCAATCTAATTTAGATTAAAAACTGCTCATGTTGCATGTATGCAGCATCTTTGTTTGGACTGTGATTCAAATGCAGTGGCTGACTCTAATTTTGAATGGAAAGACCACAGGCAAAGCCTCTGTTTATATGAAGAGAGTTTGGTCTTATTTATTTGATTTGGAGTTGGTTTTAAAATTTCAATTGTTTTATTTGACATATTTCAATTTCACAAAGAAATGTGCAGCATTTCGTCCAAGAAATAATAAAAGGACACCTTTTCATTCATAATTTGACTTCAATCTAATTTTGTTTTTAAAAAATTGAGAAAAAAACGGTATTGTGAAATCATATTGTGAATCATATTGCATCGTGAGTTGACTGAATCGTTACATCCCTATAAAAAAAAAACATAAATAGGGAGAATCATATGTCTTGCTCCAGGTAAAAGAGGATTTGTGAAAGCCTCCATGTCAGCGTTTTGTGAGTAATTTAGATTAAAAACTGCTCATGTTGCATGTATGCAGCATCTTTGTTTGGACTGTGATTCAAATGCAGTGGCTGACTCTAATTTTGAATGGAAAGACCACAGGCAAAGCCTCTGTTTATATGAAGAGAGTTTGGTCTTATTTATTTGATTTGGAGTTGGTTTTAAAATTTCAATTGTTTTATTTGACATATTTCAATTTCACAAAGAAATGTGCAGCATTTCGTCCAAGAAATAATAAAAGGACACCTTTTCATTCATAATTTGACTTCAATCTAATTTTGTTTTTAAAAAATTGAGAAAAAAACGGTATTGTGAAATCATATTGTGAATCATATTGCATCGTGAGTTGACTGAATCGTTACATCCCTATAAAAAAAAACATAAATAGGGAGAATCATATGTCTTGCTCCAGGTAAAAGAGGATTTGTGAAAGCCTCCATGTCAGCGTTTTGTGATTTTTTTTCTTCAGGGTCGCTCAATGCGGGGTTTCTCTCACTAGTGAGTGTAAACCCGGAATGGATTTCGAGCAGAATGATTACAGAACACTTTGAGCGGGATGGGAACTCTTAATCACAATCCACTCATATGTTGATCCAGATCTGCTTTTTAATAAAAAGAAGGAATTGACTTCAGACATTTCTTGATAACAACAAAGCTAGACCATTTTCTTAGTTTGGAACGATTTTCCTAGGCGGAGAAGAAAATTAGGAACTAGGCCCGACTGGTGAATTGCTGTCTGAAAGGTCAATTAGTCATTTTAATGATCTGTTTAGCGAGCTGCTGTATAAAATCAATATCACCCTTGTAATTGCTAGTAGGATACAACTAAAACCATAAAAAAATGTTACTGGAAACAAAATAGGCTAAACGTTAACTTAAAATATACAAAACACCTTAATTCATTTCAGCTAATTGCCAAAACAACATTCTCACATTAGTTTAGTTAGGCTTGTACCAAAATAACCCAATAATGAAAAAAAAACAGCAAATACAACACAACAAAAAGTGAAAACGGGAAAAAAACTAAACTATAACAATATCAGTCAAACTAAAATAGCACTGGTGCAACATTTAACCTGTGTTAATTCCTTGTTAAAAATGAGCACAATAACGATTACATTAATAGCAGAAATGGCCAAAACAGACTTACCGAGAAGACCGCGTTCTGGAGGCCGAAAGGAATCGGCGTGAGTCTCGCTAAGGCCACGATTTTGAGTCCACTTCCCCCCTCCACCACCCGAATAACAGCACTCAGCTGTTCACTGCTGCCGACCTGACCCAGAACCCAGTTCGTCAGCAGTCGCTTACACACCACATGAGCGATGAAAGTCCCGATCAAAACCCCAACCATCACCAGCCCCATGCCCAACACAAACCCATACAAATACCCCGCGGCCACGTTCAGCACGATGTACCCCCAGCCGCAGGGGAACGACACCGTGATCAAGCCCACTATGAACAGCATGGCTCCCACAAAACTGTCCAAACTCTCCACCCACAGCAACACGTCCTTCAGGTACTGGCGCACCAGGGCCACCGAGGAGAAGCACACGGCCGTCAGGACGCACGCCAGCAGGGCGCTTTTGAAGCAACAGGTGGTGATGCAGCACGGATGCCTGAACTCGGGAGTGAAGGACGCGCCGGGCTCGGTGTGACCCGCGGGGTCCGCCTCCGGTTTCCCGCCGTTCCCTCGCTCGTCAAAGACGTTACAGATCAAGATGTCGATCTTGTCGCAGTCCAGGGGGTCCGGGGTGCGCTGCAGCCAGCGGCTCAGCTGGAGCTGTCCTTTCCCCGCGGCGTGCTTCAGGGCTTTCAGCACACCCTGCACTGAGTCCGAGCTCCACATATTCATCCCGTCTGCACTGGATTGATCGACTGGACGTCCGGTCCAAAATGTTGACCCTTGAATTTACACGTTGGGCTCCTCTGGCCAAGCGATCAGCAACGATTTCCCTGGAAAGCGAAGACTAGCAGTCCGGTGATTTATAACCTAGTGATTTATCTCGGAAACACTGCTGTGGAGTCGCACCACTTCAAGGACTTGAGATGCAACCGTGTCAGCTGCCGTTCGCTTATGAACGCCATGCTCTCCTTCCCAACATCAGAGGAATAAACCCCCCTCAGACCGCTCCTGTCGTCGCGTCTGACGGATAAATCACACACACGCTCAACTTTCCCGATCCCCGCAGCACTCCCATCCAGGCTCGGGTCCAAAGTCCTGCCGCTCATGTAACATTGCTCCGCCAGGGGACCACGGTTGTGAAAGACGGTCGCCGCGTTTGTCCGACGGGTTGTTTACTCGTGCGCCGCGAGCTCTCGCTCTCGCACACACAGGTAAGGGGTGTTTACGCCAAGCGTTATTCATGCCACTGTTTGTTTCCCAGCATTCCGTGCGACGTCGTCACGTGACCTCCTCTGGCCCTTCCATGAGCGCGCGTCACACTGTGAGTATCGCGATAACACCATAGACTGCTGTTCACTGTGACATTTTAGTGTGAAGTACATTCACTAATGGGAATGTGTGTGTGTGTGTGTGTGTGTGTGTGTGTGTGTGTGTGTGTGTGTGTGTGTGTGTGTGTGTGTGTGTGTGTGTGTACACATTGGAGGGTGGAATTTAATTTAATATAATTAAAAAAAAATTTTTCTATGGACCCTTTCACAAGACTTTTTACTGTATCTTCATTTTTTTTTTAAATGTATGTACATTTATAACACTATATGCCTATTTTGTATTATATTCACACACACACACACACACACACACACACAAAACTAGTTAATACAGCGTCTATGGGAGTGACTGTAAATTTGACATCGTTCTCTCACTCTGATCAGTCCCTTTCTATTTTTTTTAATCATGAAAACACTATCATGGAGTTTTTCTTTTGCTATTTGGCAAATGGGAATGCAAAACATATATATTTGTGGTAGTCTCCCATTCACTGCTATAGAAGTTTACCCAAATATGACGACTTCTGCTGCTGAGAAATGTGAAAAAGGTCCATTGTTCTGTACAGTGTTATTGTTCTTAGAGCCCGGGACAAATACATAAATGCTTCGGTATACTTTGGAAATTGGGTTCCATGACATTTGGTCTAAATTATTTGAGTCCAAATTGAACATGTAAGATAGATAGATAGATAGATAGATAGATAGATAGATAGATAGATAGATAGATAGATAGATAGATAGATAGAGAGATAGATAATGTAGGCTAAATAGCACATTTACTAATGGGAATATTTCACTGATCAAATTTTTAAACCATTTAGTAAAAACAATACTTTTTGGTGTTATTCAGTGACAACATAGACTGGATAATATTAGACACTCTTGAACAAAGTATTATGTACCTTTTTTGTTTTCTTGTGAATTTTTAATTCTTCCTAATACCTCCTTTTGGAGATAAATTTAGCATTAGATCTTAGATATATTTACATTTAGATTCTATAAATGTCTATAAATCTAAAATTAAATTTCGAGAATAAATCTCTTTGGGTTACATTGATAGAATATTCGGCCTTTAAAAGCCATGTGTGTTGATTCTCGTGCACAGCCAATGAAAAGACAGATTTGAGAATCATGACTTGATAACACAAAGCTGCTCTGACGTACAGTAGCATTTATTTTTTTATAGAATTAAAGCCAATCTAAAAACTTGAATGCTGCCTAGCAATCGCTGCTTTTCCTATAGCAAATACAAATCGAGTTTGTTTTGTAAATCCACTGAAGCACTTTGACTGGTTGACAAATCTCTCTTCTCCCCTTACCATTTTCTGTTTTTAAAGTCCTTGCAATGTTTTTCAAAGAGGCATTTAGCCTATACAAATACAGTTTGTTCAATAGCAAGAGTAAAAAAAAAACCGCTTCAGCAAACACAGGGATTTTATTTGAAATATAGTGAAATGTAGTAATAGCTAGTCAGAGATATCCAGTGTTATCATCAGCGTTCATAATTTTGATATTTGACACCCTTCACATTTAGAATAGATCTTGTCCTTCTTCGAATGCTGCCACACAAGCCCTTAACTGTGTAGTAGTTTGTATATATGCCACAACCTCAGATGAATAACATATAATCATGAGAAGATAAGCGCTGGTGCTCTCAGGTGGTGGTGTCTATTTAGCATGCTTCACACTACAGACAGAGTGATGAAGCCAATCAGTAGATATGGGGACAGTTAGGGGACCATGATGATGGACAGAGGCCAATGGGCACATTTTTATTTGATATTTGATATGATATTATCAGATTGGAATATGGGATTGACTTGAGAGGGTTTACGTCATTTATTTAGATACATATTACCACACTGAGCAATAATTAGACCTGCCTGCCGTGTCATTACGGATCGTCTGTGATTTTAGACATTGAGGGTGGTAGGCAACAGTTGACTTTGTTGATAAGTAAACATGTATGAATGAAGAAACCTGACTCATCTGGCCACAGTACATTCATACGCATTCTGCTCAAGCGTAATGGTTTTGTTCTCTTTACAACAGATTACGAGTCTTTGTGAACTGGCCTTGGTCAAGGGGTTTCTGAATGGCAGCTTAGTCATAAACCACAGACAGTCTTTTAATGTGGCCGGGTCATTGAGTTGCTTAGTTAGTTTTGGTGTGATTTAGCAGCTGCCCTATTAATGAGCTTCAACTCGAGACTAGTAATTGCTACCAAACTAATGCAACTTAATGTTTCAGTTTTACTGTATTTTTTTAAATAAACAGTGATTAATCCGATTCATTTGAAAATTGAAATGGTGCCAGGTAAAAGTTTGGGACATGTTTTGTTATATAGATGCTTCAAATGTAAATGTCTTTTTAACATGATGCTTCTGTTCTTGGCATGATTTACCACAAGATGTCACTGCTGTTTCACCTTTAAATCACTGAATGATTTTTTTTGTGTGTGTGTGCTTGAATTGCCTTCCGTCATCTAGGTTGAATTTTTCTTAGTTACTTTTATCATTTCGCAGTAATCGTATTTACTTATATATATATATATATATAAATAGGAAGGTACAAAGAACTTATCAAATTGTTAGAAGTTAATCACTTTTTTCTAAGAAAAAAATGCACTGTGTGAACAATCCTTAACGAATGTATTTGCTACGATCACTTAAAGGAATAGTTTACAAATAATGTGCTTATCCTAATGTTTTAAACTATGCCTTTAAATTTGATTCTCCTGTAACACTATTTAATAACGCGTGCACACGATATAAACGTAATTAAGCTACCGATTTTTGCACGTTTTCCATTATTCTTTCATTTGCATCAAAACAAACATCAAGAAACACATCACAAAACAACAAAATGGTGTATCCCCGCTGAGACAGATAGGGAAGAATGACTAGCGTGATAGCACAGCACAATGCGAATGCATCAGTATCAGGAGACCTGTGGCTCTTCACTGGAGTGCAGCAGCACGAGATTCCTTTCATGCGCATTACAGCCCGAGCTCTCTGCACGCGCACTTGTGTGGATGAATTAAAGGTTACTATACTATACCTAAAAGAAAAGTGTTGCAGTTAGATCATTATTTATCACAAGGAATCACTATGGATTGCTCTGAAGAGGTGCAGTCACTCTCAGATGAAGCCAGCACTCCCATCGAGTTGAAGAAAGGAATGTCAATATTTTTGGATGTGAGTATATTAAAGCATTTTCATTTTTTTAAAATCTTGTCTGATTGTAAAAACGAATTATGTGTGCTGAACGATAAAGAGAAAATGGAGTCTTAAAATAACCTGTTGATGAATCCACAGTGCTGCATAGGATTTTGTGTTGAGTGAGTGTCTACTTGAAGATTGAGAGAATATCACAGTATCTTTAATATAGATCAAGGTGCACGAATGTTAATAATAAATATTAAGCAAATTAACAAAAGTCGTGTACCTTGATCTATATTAAAGATACAGTGATATTATATATATATATATATATATATATATATATAAGTGCAATTTAATTTAATTTAACTAAATTTAGTTGGTATAAACTGATCTCAGGTCTTGATCTTGAAGTGTTTTAGTGATGTGAGACTGGCATTCTTCATAGAAATTAATGTTAAGCTATCATCATTTAGGCTATTTGCAGTCATTATACATAATGTTAACTAGCATATTATTAATTAGTCATTGTGCATAGTTTATGCACATTAACATTTCGTTATTAAATAGACTGCGGATGGTCTTTTCCAACAAAGACACACTCTTTAAGTGCAGTTTTTGCTAATTAAATTGCTGTATGCTGTCTAAAGAACTTCCCCTGAGACATGAGGTGTGTATTGTTAATTATCATACAGGAATAAAGAAGCACAGTCCGTGACAGATTGGTGGCATCGTTTTTCACTCCTCTAAGGAGGAAGCTATATTCAGCATAGTCTTGGCATGCCTTGCAGAGGACCGTATTTAGAGTGTGAATATTCTTGCTGTGAATTGGGACTTTATTTAACAGACCACTACAGCGCGCCTGGGTGTTCAAAGTCAACATAGCCATCATCATTTTTTCTTTCATCTCTGTTCTTTTTAGGCCTCGACCTAAATAATTTACAGTGCTAGAGTCCCTTTACACGATCAACGCAGCATGCATTTTCCATGGCCCCTAGTTATTAACTGATATTGTCCTTTTTGCTTTCAGATATTGAGAAGAGCTGATAAAAATGGTAAGACATTGCCTGTGTGTCTTTTAACATGCACTTGATGTTCACCTGCATAATAAGTAGTTTTTTTTTAGACTAGTACACATTACTCTAACTGTGCATCCATATGTCTGAATGGTTGTCCATTTCCAGTCTATGCTGTTACTCTGTTGTCATGGAAACACAATACTGTCCATACGTTTCCTAATGTTAGTCAATATTTTAGTAGAGCTATGCAAACAAATGTTACTGTGCTCCCCCCTATTATAGTTCAGTTTAAGCAACCATAGAATTTTAAAAATAGCATTGATTGGGTTTCTTATGTGAAGTCCAGTTCAGGTATTGTGAATTAAAACTCAGTTATTTTGCTTTAGCATGCAGTGCACTATAAAATAATGTGTTGCTTTAACTTAAAGTAACTAAAACGGAAATATATGTACACATATAATTTCAAAATATAATTGAAAATTTTACACTTATAGTACATACGTATATAAAGTATGTAAACACAATATTTTGAAGCATTTATATTAAGTTCTGTCTCGGTAATACTGAATACTATCTTTTCAATCAATGCAATTTCAAAGCACAGTCAGGACAAGTCATCTTTATGTATATAGTGCTTTATATGATACAGATTGTTTCAAAGCAGCTTCACAGTAATAAACATGAAAATAAGATAAACAATGATGCAAATGTCTTTTTCTGCAAATTTTCAGTTTAAACTGTAAAGCAGCTCTCTAAAAAAGTTCAGCTCCAGTCAG